ACTGAAATTATAAAAACAAGAGCAGAAATAAATGAAATAGAAAACAGAAAAACAATTGAAACTATCAACAAAACTAGGAGTTGGTTCTTTGAAAAGGTCACACTGTTCTTGACTTCTACTTGATGCCAATAAGCTGAGCGGATCTGTAAAGTAGTTATAATATGTTTCTATTACTTTTATAGAGGATATAAGTGCTTCTAGAAAAACTAGAGGTACCAGGTAACACTGTAGTTAAGCATTCAGCTGTGAACCAAAAGGTTGCTGGTTTGAACATAGTAGCTACTCCATGGGATAAATATGTAGCAGTCTTGTAAAGATTTACAGTCTCAGAAATCCTATGGGGTAATTCTACTCATCCAAAGAGCTCCGTGAGTCATAATCGCATGCTTTTCTTAATAAATATTAGGTTGTATGTGGAATTAAGCTACAACATTTCACTTTCTTCTTTATGTCGTTATCTGTTGTAGGAACATCCCTCACTAGGCCAACTTTCAGAAAAATTAATAGACCACAACATCAATGTCATCTTTGCAGTTCAAGGGAAACAGTTTCATTGGTATAAGGTATGTTCATTCCCCAAAGCACAAAAGATAAAATGTTGGAATTGATAAATGGAGTTAGGATACTTCTTAGAAACACAGAGGAATTTTACTCTGTACAAACTAAATTTCAAATTCCTTTGAGGAATTTTATTGTGTACTATCTAAATTTAAAATTGCATTATGGAATTTTACTTTATCCAATCTAAATTTAATACTGCATTGATTAATGTATATAATATGATGTCTTTAATTAGCATTAAAATATAAATTCCATCTGCTGTTCTAACACCTTGAAACAAATGTGTATGCTAAGGGCTGTTTGAGAATTGTATTCATTACATTGATATTCAAGGTTGGTACTGGCTTTTAAGATAATGGAGAAAACTTTTATCAGGTGGAAAAACAAGACCATGTTCTGCCCCTACACTTCTCATCTCCAGAATCTTATTTGTATACTTTTTCAGTATATGTTTATAAACTGAAATTGATTGTAGAAGTTTATCCTAGTTTTCAACAGTACAAACATACCTAGGTCTGTGTCATACCATGAAAACAAGAGATGCCATGAAAACCACTGTTGAGCCATTCAAAATGCTTTGGGTCAGTTGAGACTCAGAAGCTGAATAGACGTCCAGGCCCTGTGACACTCCATATGGAGGACCCTGGGAGCCCCAGCATACAGCTAGTCTTCTGTATCCCTGCTATCGTTTTCTTACAGCCTCTGGGTTTTTCTTCTCACTGAATCTTGGCTTTTCTTCACTTTCATAAAAGCCCCATAATGTGCCGGCTCACTGTGCATCTCTCTTCATTACATTATCTTCATTCCTTTAGGGACTTTTGAGTCTTCTGTTCCCTCTCCCTCAATGTGTATATCACTCTCAATGTTCAACCCCTGGTGCTTTTTATTTCCTCAGAGAAACTACTTTATCTTTTGATTCAATAAATCTTAAACATTTTTGTAATTGTCACAGATAAAGGGTTCCATTCACTAATTCCCCCCATATCCACTATCATATTTGTGATCTGAGGTGTTATTAAGTCATAAAACCTTTTTCCTTTAAAATCCATGGTGAAACTTTATTTCCATGCATTCTCAAATTTATATAACATGAAACCCTTTTCTATTGTACCAATCATTAACATCTATAGAAATAGGACTCAGACCCAAATTGTCCAAATCATTTGATTAATGATGGAGGAAAACTTCTCTTTATTGGGTGATTATTATTGTCTGGTACCAAGTCTATAAACGTTAACATTTAATTCTCATAACAACTCATATTAATAAGGTTAATATTATACTATATCCATTTTAAAAATGTAGAAACACCGTCAAGAATGTTAAATACTTGCCCAAATCATTCAAGCAACCCAAATCTTGTGCTGGTACACTCTTAGTTAAACAACGGACCCAGAATTCTGTGCAGCATTAATGCACCATTTTCTCCAAAGTTTATGACTTGTTGATAATATTATTAGCTCTGGGAGTTTCACCCTACTTCCTTTTAAAATTTGCCACTGGCTGACAAATCACAAATCAAGTCTATCAGTTGGATTGTGTACAGAGTAAGAATAAGTTCTGGAAATCAGACAAGCTCTGCTACCTTTGTATGCCCAGGAATTCACCAGTTTTCATTCCAAGTCTTAGTGATCCCGTGTGTATCTAAAGAGAACTGTGGGTGGCAGGCTTTTCTTTTCTTCATATAGGGGTTTAAATGGGCTAATTTTTCAAAAGTGGATAAGTTTCCAAGACTTTCATGTAAAATGACTGCACAGACTTGAACCACCAGCCTTTTGGTTAGTAGTCAGTTAACCATTTGTAGCACTCTATAAAGATTCTGGTTCATGGTGACCCCACCCATGCACAGGAAGAATTGCTCCGTAGCATTTCCTAGGCTATGACCTTTCTGACACAGATCACAAATCCTGTCTCCCAACATGTTTCTAAGTGAGTCTGAACTACCTAACTTTCATCTAGGCAGGCACTTAAGTAGTTGCCACACCCAAGATTCTTAACTCATCCTTAAGTCACAGCTCATGGGCCATTTCTGGCAAAGAAACATCCCTGAAAACATCTGCCGGCCCTTAACTGCTTTCTGGATATCCCTTTCATTAGAGTTCTGTTTGCATTGTCTCTTGTCTCTTTTGTGACATTATCATGCATATATTTGTGAGATGGAAACACCATTATCTAATAACTTAGCATCTCCAAAGTGGTGTGCAACAGGTGCTAAATAAGGGTTGAATAAAAAAATTTTGAAAACCTACAAGTAATTTGTTTCCCTTACTATCTGAGACATCAAAATAAATTCTTGGGTGGTACAAATTGTTTGCAGTAGGCTACTAACTACAGGGTTGGCAGTTTGAGTCCATCCAGTGACTCCATGGATCAAAGTCCTGGTGATAGATGTCCATGAACTTTGCAGCCAAGAAAACCTTGGGAGGTTCTGTTCTACTCTATATAACACAGGGAATTGTTGTGAGTTGAAATCAAGTTGATAAAAACCGGTTTGCTTTGTTTTGGATGAAAGGCAAGATGATTGAATAAATATATAGCAAGGCACAAACTCATTCTTTTATTTATAAACTTCAGTTAGTCCGTTCTCTTTTTCATTCTTATTTAAGCTGTTACTCTGGTAAACTTTTGTATTTTCATTCATTCTCATTCTCTTCCTAAAAATACCTAGAATCTTCTCCATAATTATTTAGTACTGTCCGTCCAGAAGACACTTCTATTAATTATTATGCTTTTTCCTTCTGTCTGAGGCCAATATATCCAAAAGGTCAATCCACCGAAAGTAGTTCTGTAAATAATAATTTTATATGAGGAAAATAGGAAACTAGTAAGATAGTATCTTAATGTTAAATTATTTCTGAATTACAGGCTTCTTAAAATCTTTCGTGTCTTTAGATATATTTTGTGTCTTTAAATGTAAATTGTCAAACTTTGTCTTCCAGTGTTTGTTTTTTTTTTTTTAATGTTTCCTATCTCATGGGATTATGTTCCATGGTAAGTACTTTGAGAAATGCCAGTCAGCACTTGGATTGGATCCTTGTCCCTGTGTAATTTATGTATACACACACTCATATGCATACACAGATATACTCTGTTATCTTGAATGTGTGCTTTATTAGGTGCTCTGGTTTACTTATGTATTTCTTGTTTCCAGGATTTTTAATTTTATGCCTCACTATGATTACTCTAAAAGTATTTTCTATTTGTTGATTGCAGCACCATGATATATTCTTCTTGTTATATAAGTGTAATTTCTGTGTTTTCCAGGATCTTCTACCACTCTTGCCTGGCACCATTGCTGGTCAAATAGAATCAAATGCTGCAAACCTCAATAATTTGGTAGTAGACGCTTATCAGGTATGCTTCGATTTTGTTTTCTATATAAAATTTTACTGTCCGTTCTTGGACAGAGTACAAAGCAGTACCGTATCCTTTTGAAAAGAATAGTAAAAAGAATATTAGATTAAGAACCTGAAACCAAGAGATTATCCTTGACTTTGCCACAAAGAACTCTGGTGGCAGAGTAGTCAAGTGCTGGGCTGCCACTAGCTGAATGATCAATAATTTGAACCTGTCAGTTGACTCACTGGAGAAAGATGTGGAAGTCTGATTTCATAAACATGACGATCTTGGAAACACAAATGAGACAATTCGACTCTGTCCTGTAGGGCAGCTGTGAGTTAGAATCAACTTAGCAGCAACAGATTTTTTTTTTCTTTTGTTTTGTTTTTCTTTTCCTGCCACTCACTGTAACATGAAATTTTGGCAAAGTTACCTTGTCTTTCTTTGCCCAGGTGTTTCACTGATGATATGCTCAGGTTGTGCTAACTTGATTTCTTTGCCAATCAAATGCTCAGTGAATCATCTACTGATCATAGTTGTACAGCGTACTCTCCTTGTTAACTAAGGCATTTCTAATATCCTGAGTGTAAAGACAAAGTTAAAAACTTGCATTATTATTTTCTTAAATCATAGTAACTGAGGAGCTCTCTGGTAGTAGCATGAAGACTTTCCTACTTTCCTTAGTCAAACAATTGATTATTTATCTTAGCACTTTTATAAAATTTGTTTGATATTTTTAAGTCATCTCAATGATATATTGTTTTGTAGACTTGTATTCCTATGCTCTCCACCCTTGTATGCAGGAGACAAATAAGGTGCAGAGACTTTAAAGATAAATCTAATGTCTTATCATAGACATTTGTTAAGGTAAAAAAATCTCTGTTAAGATGTTATAATGATCCATCATATTTATTTTACCAAGAAGCAGCCCTTTTCCAAATATGACTGCATTTATTCCTCACAGTTGGCTTGTAAATCAGATGTTTTGACTCACACTGTATATTTGCAGAGATTGAGAGCAAGATAAGTTAAGCAATTTATTTAGTAGGAGTTAAGATTGGGATCCAAATACTCCTGTACTCCAGGACACAGGTGCTTCCTCCCTGGTGAGGCCAACCTTTTTAAATAAAAGCACAGAGGGGAAAATAAGGTTCCATTTCTAAAAATCCTCTGATTTTCTTCCTGATATGGCAGTGTATTTAGTGCCTAAATGGGAGCCACCAAGGAAAACCTTCCAGTCAGCTGCTGCTTAACTTTTCTCCAAGCAGCACCTGCCTTGAACTTGTGTACAAAAGAGAAAGGAAAGAAGTAGACAAAATAAAAAATGAATTTGTTTAAACTTTGTTCCTTTTTTAAAAAGCATGCATCTTTTTTCAGTTTTTGACAAGAAATTGTTCTGTGTTCAAAAACTATATTGATTCAAGTAAGGGGAACATCTCAAGTTTTGTTTCTCTTCAACAACAGTATCATTAAGACATGTGTATCTCCTTGTCAAGGGAAATCATTCATGCATGAAATCCATTCTCATTAGTTAGTTTCCAAGGATAGTTACAGTTGGGAAGGAGCTCACATGTTCGAAATCTCCTTCCGAATTTTTAAGTATAAGCTTTCTTATTAATCAATCAAGATACATAAACAACCTTTTTACCTATTCATCAGACTATAACTCTGGCAAAGAAAACCTTTTGAGACAGCACTATTTGTTTTCCTTGACTTGTCTAGGAAGCTTGAGTGACATTTTTGTTCACCTGAATAAACTTAAGCAATGGAAAATTCTAGTAAGTCCAATGAAACTTCACTCTGACTGACTAGAAGCTCTGACTGACTAGAAGCTCTGACTGGGAGCTCTGGTGACCTAGTGGCAAGAAGCTGCTCTGCAATCCTGGAGGTTCAAGGCCATCAGCTGCTCCACAGGAGAAGGATGGTCAGTCTCCTTCCGTGCAATTTACTGCCTCTGAAAGCGCATCGGTTCTGACTCTACTGTACACAGCAGCAACAACAATTGGCAGACTAACATCTTTAGCGATTCTGTTACCACATTCTGTATGGAAATATTTTCAAAAATTCTTCTGAAATTTGTCTTGAAATCCAACAAAAAGAATTCTACAACAGAAAAATATCTTTGTGATCTTTTACCTGTTAAATGTTGAAAAGGAATCTCAGGCTGTGTCTAGAACTAAATTTCTGAATCCCAGAACTGGCAAGAACTTAGAGATTTGTCTTCACATCTTGTTTGAAAAACACTGGACTTAAACAACTGAACATTTCAAGAAAAGCAGAATTTTATGAGGCCAAGACAAGAATGCTAAATGTGTTAGTTATTTCCTTCAGACATTGCATACATACATACTTCCACTGCTGCTGCAGGTGTTACCAGTTACCATAGAATGGGTTCCAACACTTGGGGAATAAACCTCCACATGTCAGAATAGAACAGTATTCCATACATACCTCAGTGGTGGATATTTCAGATGTAGGTCATTAGGCCAATCACCTGAGGTGCCCTTGGGTTGACCTGAACCCTAAACCTTCCAATTGGTAACAAAATCCAATAACCATTTGCACCATTCAGGGACTAATATAAGCGATAGATATAGTGTCCTGTTGCTATACCAGCATCCCTATGCTATACCAACCATACTATAACTGTATTGTCAATGTTTATATGCCATTGGACATTTGTATTGTTTTGGAGAAACTAATTCAATTAACTGATGAAGTATACATAACTTTCTAAGAGATTTTTAAAATGTAGTTGACATTGATTGTTTTATACCTTGTTCGAAGATATACTGTCATAGTTCATTTATCAGTTAATAATCTTTAAGCACATAACTTTTTGTGGATTATGCTTTTTGAAAAGGAAAAATTACTCAAAAATAAGAAACAATTGAAAATTACTTTATTCTTCATAGCATGTGGTTAATTCTCTTTCCTTCAGTACATACTTAAATACTTCCTATTCCTTTTGTTTGTATTCTAAGAACTTTTGAAATTGTCAGACTCATTTACAAAAATGAGGACAAATTGTGTACATATCTTCAGTTTATATTTATAATAACTCAAATTTTAAATCTCAGAAATTGAGATAGAAGAAATTGGAGTATGCCATACATATTATAAGCAGCTACAGATGCTGAGTGGGTGTATATAGAGGTTACTGAATAAATAAATGAATTATTTCTTGCCCAATGAGAAATCCTTGTTGATAGTAAGATTTAAGTCAAGTTTGATTTAGAAAAATATTCCCAAGGACTTGGAAAAACTCTAGGCTATTCTTAGGAAGTTTTACAGTCATATTAGATACTTCTTGTGCCTATAACCACATGTAGACATGTGTGTGTAATCAACCACTTTTATGATAGACTGAAATATTTTAGCAGCACCTTTTTCTTTGTAGCGCCGAGATGGCTTACTGTTGTTCTGACACAGGATGCTACACTATAACTATTTCTAATAAGTGCAGGGACACCTGCAATAGTCAAGCTTCAGCACAGCTTCCAGGCCAAAACAGATTAGGGGACAAAGATCTCCATTTTCTTTGCAAAATTGGCAAATGAAAAATTTACAGATCACTGTATTGCCCAGTATATAGGGGGAATTAAGTCATATTATTAAAAGTCTTAGTGTTCAATGGTTTAAAATTAGGTGAGGTGTGTATTAGGAGCTCATCTTTTCTCCTTGTCTATTTAATCTGTATGTCATTAGACAAATGATACAACCTGGAGAAGATCAAAGATCATAAACTTCAATAAAGATTATATTTTAACATCAAGAAAACAAGAATCCTCCCCACTGGACCAACAGTATTGAGGTAGTATTCAGGTTGTCAAGGATTTCATCTTACTTGGATCTCAATCAATGTCCATTGTAACAGGATTCAAGAAGTAAAAAAAAAAATTATTACTTGGGTAAATCTGCTGTCAGGAGTCTCTAAACTGCTTAAGTACAAGGATACCAGTTTAAAGACTATGATGTGCCTGATCCAACCATGATATTATCAGTTGCTTCTTATGCATCTGAATATTGAACAACTAATAAGACTGGAGAAGAATGGATGCCATTGAATTGTGATGTTGGGAAAGAGTACTGACTATCCTGTGGGCTGCCAAAAGAATGAACAAATCTCTGTTGGTACAAAGGCAACCAGGGTGCTCCATGGAGACAAGGATAGTATAACTTGGTCTCACATATTCTAGGCATATTACCTTGGGAAAAGGCATCATATCTGGAAAGGCAGAAGGTCACCAAAAGAGAAGAAGACCCTCAACAGGATAGATTGATACAGTGACTGCAACAATGCATTTGAGCATGAGACCCAGTGGGCAGAAACCGTGACTATGGCTCAAGGCTCTGGTACACGGTTAGTCAGGTCTCTATTAATGGCACTTAACAGAAACAGCATGGTTGGAAGGCACTGCATAAAGGGTGCAACAGTAAACTCTGACAACTCTCCATAGTTGTGAAGATGGTGCAGGACCAGACAACCTTTTGTTAAGCTGTACACAGGGCCAACATGAGTTGGAGTTAACCCAACAGCAACTAACAACTAAGTTTTTTAAATGGAAATATAACATTAGTAACTACAATTGTTAGACGCTTGTTTTATATTCTAAGTGTTCAAGATTTTTCCTCTTTAATAATATATGCGCTTTCCATATTTTATTTAACCTATCATAAAATATTAGTATTATTGAATTTTAAAAATATAACAGAAACAATGATTGTTTTGTAGCACAAGCCAAATGTAAAATACTTTTGAATTGATCAAAAGACAGTTATGAAAATAAGTACAAAGAGAAATTTAAGTATAGATATCCAGCACTTCAGAGTATCTTAAGTGTTTGAAATTTAACTGGTGCACATGGCTATGACGTTTTATTCATCCTTTTTTTTTCAGGTGAACACTTTTTTTTTAAGTTAAAAATTAAATCAAGAAAGAGTTCATAAACTTGACTATATTTTCTTGCTTCTCTTTGAGATTTTTTAAAAAAATTATATCTTTGCAGAAACTGCTTTCAGAAGTGAAAATTCAGGTGGAAAACCAGGCACAAGGTGTCTATTTTAACATTACAGCCATCTGTCCAGATGGATCCAAAAAGCCAGGCACAGACGGATGCAGAAACGTGACAAGCAATGATGAAGTATGTCATGTACATTTTTCTTGTTTTAAGTTTATTAAATTTTGGCCTCAAACCATTCTGGAAAACTTAATACGGATTTCTGGGAATCTTATTTAGACTTCAAAATAAATTTCTTATTATTTCCTTCATGTCTTCCGAAGGTTTCTACTTCTTTTAACTCTATTAACTCTTCTCTGAACTCTCTCAAAATCAATGAACATACATACATTAAATATTCAATAATGCTGTTGTGCTGTTAAATCTAGTTGAGTTCAGAGCAAGATATGCAGTGAGTTGTAAATGGCACAGGAAGAGATTGCCCATCTTTCTCTTCCAGAGCAGCTGGTGAAATCAAACTTCCTTCATTTGAGTTGGAAGCACAATTGCTTACAGCTAAGCCAGCCTGAGAGCAGTGATAATTCAGTGGTAGAATTTGCACCTTTCATATAGACATGGAAATTCAATTCCTGGCCAGTGTAGCTTAGTGAAACTACTACCTACCTCAATGCAACTATTATTAGTTAACAATTAGTGTGTTGCTATCATGTTGAACAAACTTTAGGAGAGCTTCTAGAGTAAAAAAAAAAAAAATAGAAAGGTCTAGCAGAGCATTTCCAAATTTCTGTCAGTAGAACCTCCATGAGCCCAGTGGCTTGACCTCGTTGTGAATAGAATCCCCATGGGTCAGGAGCCTGACTTGATGGGAACTCACTACAGTGTTTATAAACGTAAAAAGCAGTTTATCTTCAAAGAATTAGTATGCATAATTATCTTATGTTGATGTCAATCCCATTTTGGTTCCAAGGCTAAAAATCCATAGCATTACCTGAAATGTGAAAAGCACAGAAATGAGAGGAGTGGGAATGATGGAGGTGTTGAGGAAGACCGAGACTTCTGAAATTTTTGTGATTGTCCTGATATAATTACTTAAGGGAAAATGGACAATTTTACAAGAACAATTAAGAAAGGAGAGGAAGGAGACATTATTTAAGTAAAAAGTGATGAGTTATCATTGAAACAAGAGGCCTCCATTGCAGCACCATCGGGAAATTGATCCAGAGAAGATAAGACTTCTCCTAGGGACCTGTGCATGATTAAATAAATACCTGGAGGGTGTTTGAAGAGGATTTTTACAAGGCGAAAAGTTATTTTCAGGAGTCATTAGCCACTTGAGACATCACTATGTCATTTTTAAACAAACAAGTTAGAGGAGAAGACTTCTAATTCCCTCCTCCCTCCACCTGCAAAGTTGCATGATGGCAATCTTTAAAAAATATTCTACTATGGAGAATAAGAGTTGTTGAAAGAGTCTATGCTCAATTTTTTAATAAAACTTCTCTTTAGTCAGAATTTACTTTTTGTCTAAAATAATCATATATAACATAATCAAGCATATGTAAAATACAGCTATAAATGAAAAATAAATATACGTGAACCTTAAATAAATAAATAAATACATACATACATACATACATAAATAAATGAATGAAGTTGAGAATTTGTAAGTAATATGATTCTTCCACAAGAAGGCCTGGTGGTGGCATTACATGTTAAGCTGCTAACAAAAGTTTGAAGGTTTGAATCCACCAGCTTCACCAAGAGAAATAGATAGGCAGTCTCCTTCAGTAAAGACTTACAGCCTTGCAAATTGGTAGAGGTTTATCATGTGTCAGAATTTGCTTAATTACAGTGGGTTTGACTGGTTTTATGATTTTTCTGCGAGAGCCCTGGTGGCATAGTGGTCATGTGCTTGGCTTCCAACCCAAAGGTAAACAGTTCAAATTTAGCAGCCACTCCCCAGGAAAAATATGTACCAGTCAGCTAGCTTCTATACAGATTACAGCCTTGTGAACCCTATGGGGCAGTTCTGCTCTGCTTCTGGGGTTGCCGAGAGCCTAGATCTACTCACTGGTGGAGGGTTTTGGTTTTGCTGGGCTTTTGTTTATAGTTGCTCCAATATGCTATATATTTTAAAAAATATTGCGAATTTCTAATTTTGCAGACTGCTCTATAATAACGTGCTGGATGTCTTTTAAAAAATCATCTAGTAGTTTTCAAAACACATATTTCATTTCCATTAAACATAGAGAAAGCTTTGTACTAGTAAAAAGTTAACCATACATTCTTTTAAAGGCTTTGGGAAGTAGTTATTTCCTTAAAAATCTAAGTTTGGGCAGAGTGGTTTTCTTTAGTTCTTAACTTTTTTTTTCTCCTTTCCATTCTCCTTTCTCCATATTCCTTCTCTTTTTCTTCACTTCAAACCAAGTAATATAAACAATTGACTCTCAGGAATAGTCATATAGATTCTTAATTATATAAACCCAAGGTTTGTGTATTGGCAAGTACTATATTATCCTCTACATCTGTTACTTCTTAGCATTCTTAAAGCCAAAAATATTTCAAGCATATCAGCAGTATTGATTATAATATTATAAGGCTGCATACATATACTAGAGAGGCCTAAATATCACACCTTTCTTTCATGTTATGAATATCAATATATTGCACATAAGTTTTCAGAGATTTATGTTGTTGTTGTTAAGTGCCGTTGAGTCACAGGCGACTCATAGTGACCCTATGAAGGAGAGTCCTCGACGCTTGGATGCCTTTCATCCTCTCTCCAGGTTCATAGGGTTTTCGGATGCCACTCCTCCTTTCAACAGTCTACTGTAGAGGGGGAAAATGTAAAAACAACAGAAATGAACAAACAAGAAAAACGTACATAATTTTCTTATTGGCCAGATTCAATGAAGACAGTATGGCAGGTCACTAGATACAGACATAAATCAATACCTGGTCAAAAACATAGAAAAGGGAAATTTTTGCAAAGAAAAGAATTTCAGAATGATGGAGGAAATAAAACTTTGGCAGTACTAGCCCTTAGTTCTAGAATGATTTTTCTCACTAGACAAGCTTTTGACCTTGTATTGAGGTCTTACCTTTTGCATCATTGTTATTATGTACCACTGAGTCGGAACTGACTCCTAGCTAACTCTCTAGTGAGTTGCATAGCAGAGGGCTGCTTGTGTTTCTCCAGCCGCCCACTGGTGGGTTCTGTGAGGGTACCTGTGGGTTGCCATCACAGTTCTTAACCACCAGGCTAGCAGAGCCCCCTTGAGTAACATCAGAAGAAGCCCTTCTTGCCTACCATTTGTATCCTGTTTAAAGTAAAAATTGACTCTCAGACTTTGCCTAGGTCTCTAGAAAATAGATGTTGCTGAGTGCAGTAGAGTTAGAATCAACCCGTAGCTCACCTTCCAGCTGGTCCTCAGAGGCAGTAAATCACATGGAAAGAGATTACCCACCTTTTTCCTATGGAACATGTGATGACTTTAACTATATCCCTTCACAATTGTTCAGCCTCTTACCACAACAAGGTAAAAAACCTGCTCATCTGAATATCTCATTTAGAGACTGTTAACCCATAAAGAGCCCTTTTCTTGGGTTTATTAGATTCATTGCTAGTGGCAAATACTCCATAATTCTAGAATATAAAAAATCGAATCTAAAAAGTAGCCTATTCTCTCTCAAGTTGGCCAGGAAATTGCTTTTCAGGAATACATAAATCATCTTGGTGAAGAAGATACTTCAAATAAACTTCACTCACCCAAGTTCATTTACTAGTACAATAAGAATAATGAGCACACATTACACTCTTTAAAGCTCTAGTTTGTTAATTAGGAAATAACTGGAATTGAAAGGATGTGTTAATGGATACCTGGGAGGAGTTGGTTGCAATACATGCATAATTTATAAATATTTATTTCCCTAAGATCTATTGTTGGTTCTAAATATATATAGACCTATTATTAGAAGTAAAAATAAGCATGGTACATATAAGAGTATTTCCTTTCTCCCCTTAAATTTAGGTTCTTTTCAATGTCACAGTCACAATGAAAAAATGTGATGTCACAGGAGGAAAAAACTATGCCATAATCAAGCCTATTGGTTTCAATGAAACCACTAAGATCCATATCCATAGAAACTGCAGCTGTCAGTGTGATGATGGCAGAGACCTTAGAGCAGCATGTGTAGATGAAAAGTTTTCGGACGCTCACTGTTTCCAGTGTGATGACAATAAATGTCAATTGGATGAAGCTCCGTTTCCTTCTGAGAGTTGCCAGTCCCACAGAGATCAGCCTGTTTGCAGTGGTCGAGGAGTTTGTGTTTGTGGAAGATGCTTATGTCACAAAACTAAGCTTGGAAAAGTGTACGGAAAATACTGCGAGAAGGATGACTTTTCTTGCCCGTATCACCACGGAAGTCTGTGTGCTGGTGAGTGTCCACAAACATGCATAACGTTTTTATTCTTCCTTTTTAAAAATTGTTGTAAAGGTGTAGACCATCTATCATGTGAACATTTTATACATGCTGTTGTACTGGCCACATAACATAGAATTCTTTAAATGACGATTTAATGGTTACCAACACTGCGTATAAATGTATTAATCAAAAAGTTTATACTATCTTGCTTAAGAAAATGAGTTACAAAAAGTATTTTTTTATCCTTCAAAATTTTCTAAAGCATTAGTACATATAAAATTGTTGTTGTTGTTGTTATGTGCTGTCGAGTCGCCTGCCACTCATAGCGACAGTATGGAAAACAGCCCTAAACTCTGCCCTATCTTGTGCCAATCTTATCATCTCTACCCATTGCCTACCCCACACCTATCCCCATTACCCCAGTCACTGAATCAATCCATCTCATCAAGGGTCTTCCTCTCCTGTGCTGTCCCTTCACTCTCTCAAGCACAACATCTCTCTCCAAGGACTGTTCCCTCCTTGCAACATGTCCAAAGTATGTCAGACAAAGTTTCAGAATCCTTGCCTCCAAGGAGGAGCAGCCTAGCTTCACTCTCTCCAGGACAAATCTGTTTGTTTTCCTAGCAGTCCATGGTATATTCAATACTCTTCTCCAACACCACAGCTCAAAGGCATCAATTCTCCTTCTATCCTCCCTAGTCATTGTCCAGCTCTCTGATGCATAGCAAGTGATTGCAAAGACCTTGTAAGTTTGTATTAATTTAAACCTCTTCAGTTCATTTTTTAAAACACTGTCAGCAAAAGAATTGTTAAGACAATGTTCTTCAAGTGAATATAATTTAGCAAATAATCTAGAAGATTGTATGAGGCTACACAGAGATTAAAATTTTTAAAATGAAGCAAATTATGATTACTTTATAACTGATTAGGTTTACTGCCATCTAGAAGGTTATTGTTGTTGTTGTTGTTATGAGTCACTTGCGACTCACAGTGATCCTATGCACATCCCTGAACCCTGCTCTATCCTATGCCAGTCTCACTGTCTCCGACACACCTACCTTCACTACCCTAGTCGCTGAATCAATCCATCTCATTCAAAGTCTTCTTCTCTTGAGTTGTCTCTACACCATCCCAAACCTGGCATCTCTCTCCAAGGACCATGCTCAAAGTATGTCAGAAGCTTTGGAATCCTTTTCTTCAAGGAGCAGCCTGGTTTTACCCTCCCTAGAACAAACCTGTTTGTTCTCCTAGCAGTTCATGGTATAGTCAATATTCCAGCACCACAGCTCAAAGGCATCAGTTTCTCTCCTATCATCCCTAGTTTTTGTCCAGCTTTCTGATGCATAGCAAGTAATTGCAAAGAGGATGGCCTGGATCAAGCCCACCTTAGTCTCTAGACTGACATCGTTGTTCTTCAGTACTTTGGAGAGGTCTCTGACAGCACACTTTCACAGTGCAATTCGTCTTTTCATTTCCTGGCAGCTTGTACCAAGAGTGTTGATTGTGGAGCCAAGCAAACTGAAAATGTTAACAATCGCAATCTAGAGGGTAGATTGGGGGGGGGGGGATCTGTGCAACATTTGAAAATTAATACAAAGTATTGTTTGAAAAGTAATTAAAAGAACTCTCTCAATTCTGTGATAATATTTCAACTTATAATGTGCTATATCCACATAATGTGAGAACATCTTTTAATGTTTTCATTTAAGTAAAAAAAATGCTGATTTAATTATGAAACTATTGTCCAGACAGGAGCCGATCCAGGAATATATTCTATGGAAGAGTTACCCCATGAGTTGTTTAGCAGTAAAAGGAAAAGAGGGAGTCAGGGAAGGAAGGGAGGAAGGGAAGAAAGGCACTTGAGGAAGGAAAGGCCTGTGGCCAAATAAACTTGACAAACACCATATAAGCCTCAACAATACTCTTCCCTAATTGAAGATTCAAAATTCATATTAGCATATTATGTTTTTGATGCTTCCTGCCATCTAAAACTCACTTAACTGTGCAATTTAAACACTTTAAACCATTTAACTAATGTTTCCACAGTGGGCATGAATATTCCCAACACCATCCTGCTTTTTCTTTTCCATTTAGCACCTAGAGTCAGAACCGACTAGAAGGCACATAAAAACAACAACACTCACTCATTATAACATGTTCCACTAGCCTGCTAAATAATACACTTGGACTCTGAAAGAATCTATTTAACTTCACAGGACACTTTTCCCTTTAAGATAGCCCTAAAGAACTGAAGCCTCGTGGTTCTTCAAAATTATCCCAGACCTCACCACTGATGAAAGACTTACATTATGGAAAGAATAAATGATGGAAACCATTAATAGTGTGCCCTGATTTTAAATCAGACAATTAACATTACTCTAGCCTTTGTAACATCTCCATTCTTGTATGGTTTCATGTAAAATATAGTGCACACTGGCATTCAAGTAGGCAGGCAGCACTTGCAGGAGGGACTGACTCAGACTTGTCAACACCATATATTAGCATGGGGAGACCATGAACGCTAGTAAAGCCTGGGAATTGTTTGTAACAGACAAGGAGGAAACAGTACTGCTTCCATTCACTGAACTCTCAATGTGTTTTTATGGATACTAGGGGGAATGCATGTTTGGAAACTTCACAAAACACTGGCCCTGGTAACTTATTCCTGGTGTGTCTCCGTTGCAGGTCATGGAGAGTGTGAAGCTGGCAGATGTCGGTGCTACAGTGGCTGGGAAGGGGACTGGTGCCAGTGCCCGTCAGCATCAGCCCAACACTGCCTCAACTCGAAGGGCCAAGTGTGCAGCGGGAGAGGCACCTGTGTGTGTGGCAGATGCCAGTGCACTGATCCCATGAGCATCGGACGCTTCTGCGAGCACTGCCCCACCTGTGATTCAGCCTGCAATGAAAACTGGTGCGTTGTCTCTGCCTCTAAGCATAAAACACACCTCGGTAATAGTTACTTCAGTCTTCTTCCCCAGCCTTGGAAGTCGCTGGTCATTTCCTCCAGGCAAAATTGTACCATCATGTTAAGCATTGAATGGAATGTTTTGGGGATTAGGAAACCTGGATTCTAGTCTTTGGTCACTACAAAATGGTGAGAGTATTAGAATTTATGTATGAAACCACTATCTTAGCTTTCTGGCAGTGTCATTATTCTCAGGTACCATCAAGGCAGTTCTGATTCATAGATCCTTTTAAAGTATAAGGACATGCACATTATCTGGCCCTGTGCCATCCCCATAAGGACACATTATCTGGTCCTGTGCCATCCACTATGCTTGATCCCATTATTGTAGTCACTGTATTGGTCCATCTCATAGAAAGTCATTATCTTTTTGATCCACCTTCACCTTTGCAAAGATTGGCCTCCTTCTGGAAAGACTGCCCCATCCTGACAGCATGGTAAAAGTATATGAGAGGAAGCCTCACCATCCTGGTTTCTAAGAAACATGCCAACTGCCTGTCTTCCTTGATAAATTTGTTGGTTCTTTTGCAGTAAATTTTATAGTCAAGATTTTCTGCCAACATCAAATTTCAAAGACATTGATTTTTCTTCAGCCTTCCTTATTCATTGCCTGATGTTCATATATGTGAGACAGTTAGAAATGCCAGTGCCTGGGCCAGGCATACTTTAGACCTAAATTATGCAACTTATCTCTGTAACACTTTGGTAAGGTCCTTGGCAACAAAATTGCCCAATGCAATCCATTGTTTGATTTCTAGATTTCTGCTGCCAGTAACGTTAATAGTTGATTCAAGTGAGATAAGTTCTAATCCATACTGAAGGCCATAGTCTCTGGCCTTCCTCAAACGTTTCAAGTCTTCTTCACTTTCAGCAATCAAGGCTGTGTCAATTGTGAATTGCATGCTGCTACTGAGTCTTCCTACAATCCCAGTAGCACGTTCTTTATATTGTCCAGTATCTAAAATTGTTTGTTCAATATACATATTGTTGTTGTTGCTATGTGCCATCGAGTCGTTTCCGACTCATAGCGACCCTATGCACAACAGCTCTAAACCCTGCCCTATCCTGCGCCAACCGCACCGCCTCCGACACACCCATCCCGATTACCCCAGTCACCGAATCAATCCATCTCATAGAGGGTCTTCCCCTCCTGCGCTGTCCCTCCACCCTCCCAAGCATGATGTCCCTCTCCAAGGACCCGTCCCTCCTGGCAACATGTCCAAAGTATGTCAGACGAAGCCCCAGAATCCTTGCCTCCAAGGAGTAGCTTGGTTTAATCCTCTCCAAGATGGATCTGTTTGTTTTCCTGGCAGTCCAGGGTACATTCAGTACCCTTCTCCAGCACCACAGCTCAAAAGCATCCACTCTCCTTCTGTCCTCCCTAGTCATTGTCCAACTCTCTGATGCATAACAAGCAATTGCAAATACCATGACCTGTATCAGGCGCACCTTAGTCTCCAGAGAGACACTGTTGCTCCTGAGTATGTTTGAGAGGTCCCTAACGGCAGACTTTCCCATCGCGATACGCTTTTTGATTTCCTGACTGCTGGTACCAAGAGTGTTAACTGTGGAGCTGAGCAAACTGAAGCTGTGAACACTCTCAATCTCTTCATCATCCATCCTGACGCTGCCAATTGGTCCAGTGGCGAGAATCTTTGTCTTCTTGACATTGAGCCTCAGTCCATACTGAAGGCTGCAGTCCTTGACCCTTTGCAGCAAGTGCATGAGGTCCTCCTCAGTTTCAGCAAGCAAGGTTGTGTCATCTGCATAACGGAGATTGTTGATAGATCTTCCACCAATCCTGATGCCACAATTCTCCTCATAGAGCCCAGCCTCTCGGATAATCTGCTCTGCATACATGTTGAAAAGGTATGGAGACAGGATGCATCCCTGGCATACGCCCTTCCCTATTTTGAACAATGCAGTGTTACCCTGCTCTGTTCTGACTACTGCCTCTTGGTTCAAGTATAGGTTTCGTATTAGCACAATTAAATATTCTTGGATTCCCATTCTTCTCAGAGTCAGCCACAGTTTGTTATGATCCACACAGTCAAATGCCTTTGCATAATCAATGAAACACAGATAGACATTCTTCTGGTATTCCCTGCTTTCAGCCAAGATCCATCTAACATCAGCAACGATATCCCTAGTACCACGACCCCTTCTAAACCCAGCCTGGACTTCCGGCAGTTCTCTGCTGATGTGCTGTTCTAATCGTTTTTGGATGATCTTCAGCAGAATCTTGCTTGCATGTGAAATCAATGACAAAACAAAATACTACAAGGAAATGTGCGAGGAACTAGAGTCAGAAAATCAAAAGGGCCGAACTCGCTCAGCATTTCTTAAGCTCAAGGAACTGAAGAACAGATTCAAACCTAGAGTTGCTGTAATCAAGGATGCTTCGGGCAGAATATTAAATGATCCAGGAAGTATTAAAAGAAGATGGAAGGAATATACTGAGTCATTATATAGAAAGGAATTGGCAGATACAGAGGAATTTAAAGAAATAACATATGAGCAAGAGCCTATGGTGATGAAGGAAGAAGTTCAAGCTGCTTTGAAGGAAATAGCAAAAAATAAAGCCCCAGGAATAGATGGTATACCAATTGAAGTATTTCAGTTAACAGATGTTGCCCTGGACGTGCTCACCAAGTTGTGCCAAGAAATCTGGAGAACAACCACTTGGCCACCTGACTGGAAGAGATTTATATTTGTTCCCATTCCAAAGAAAGGTGACCCAACTGAGTGTGGAAACTACAGAACAGTGTCAATATACATATTAACCAAGTATAATGAAAAGAAACAACAGTGGCACCCACCTTTTCTAATTTTAAAACGCCGGTATCCTCTTTTCTGCTTGAGCAGCTACTTCTTGGCCCCTGTACAGGTTCTGTATGAGCACAATTAAATGTTCTGTAATCTTCATTCTTTGCAATGTTATCCACAATTTATTGTGATCCACATAGTTGAATGCCTTTGGGATAGTCAAGAAAACACAAACAAGTATCACTGTGATAATCTCTACTTGCCACCAAGATCCATCTCACATTAGCATGTCCCATATCCTCATCTGAATCTGCCTTGAACTTCTGGAAATTCTACATCAATGTACTGTTGCAACCATTTTCTGTCATTATTTTGAAATAGCTCTTTACAATTAGAGACTGCCTGCTTCTCAGGTCACTATTAATTAGCTGTGTATACCAGGGTAAGTTCCCAGAATTGTTTAGCTGTAATGTTCCCATATAAAAAAAGTAAGGATAATATCTTCAATTCTATAAAATAGTTAATCTAGATGACCCATGTTTGTTTATTTGTTTTAAGAAATGTTACATTGTAATTCTTTTTTACTTGTTGTTGTGTGTTTTTAAGTCAGAACCAACTATAGCCGTTTCATTGATTTTTCATGGGCAATAAATTGCCTAGGAGGAGACTGGCCATTTTTCTTTCTTGGAGCAGCTAGTGGATTCAAACTACTACGTACCTTTGGGTTAGCAGTGCAACTCCTTACCACTAAGTCACCAGTGCCCTCACTCTCGCTCTCTCTCTCTCTCTCTTTTTTTTTTTAACATAGTAATTAAATTACTTTGGGCATGTTTTTTGGGAGAGACCAGCACTTGGAAAAAGACAACATGTTGAGAAAGGTGGAGGGTCAGAGAAAGACAGGAAGAACCTCAAGAAGATGGGTTGACACAATGACTGTAACAGTGGGCTTGAGCCTGATAGAGGTCAGGAGGCCGGTGCAGGATGATAGGGCCAGGTGCAGTCTGTTGTTCAGAAATGCTCTATGACCTGGCAGCACCTAACAACAACAAAATCAAATGTCATGATATTGCTATGTTTTAATTTCTTTTCTACAGATAAACAATGATAGCATTTGTGATGCTTTCTAGAAATAAGTCATATATAAATAAAAAGACAAGTCAAATGGTGATATTACTATTTTATGGCAGTAACAGCTTGTGACCTGCTGAAAGAGAAGAGATCGCAGCTCTAAACGTCATTGTACCTTCCGATGGCCATTACTCCCTATTTTTAATGACATTTAATTTTATCAGATCAGTATTTCCTTTTTTAAAATTATATATTTAATTCCTTTTGAAGCACTATACTAAAATCTTATGGTGATATTTCCAGTAAATTTGGAAAAGGTTTGAACTTCTATCATTACTAAATTTTTCTAGTGATATAATATTAATCTTCTAAAATACCTATTATAATTTACTAATTTATGCTAAGAATATCTTATTTCCTAGCTTTTTCTTCTTAATACAGTGGAGTCATTATTTTCATTTTCCTATTATTAAGATACATTGACTTTCTAGGATATAATTTTGTCATAGTATTCAGCCAAGATTACAAATAAATTACTTAGCTTTCATTCCTAGTTTTAAAATGCTGTTATCTTAAAACAGAACTTCACGGTTATATTCTTTCTCTCGGGAAATGTTTATGGGCCAGAAAACTTTAATGGATCTCTTGTGGTCTCGTGGCAAGAAGCTGTGCTGCAATCCCAAAGGCACATGGTTCGAGGCCACTAGCTGCCTAAGAAGGAAGGGAAATCTACTCTCATGATTAACTGCCTATGAAAACTCGTTGGAGGGTCAGCTATGGGTTGGTTCTGATTCAATGGTACACAACAACAGCAACAACAACACAACCTTTGATAAATAATAATAAATGTTTTTGCTTCTGTCGCCATTACAGGAACTGTATGCAATGCCTTCACCCTCATAATCTCTCTCAAGCTACACTTGATCAGTGTAAAACCTCATGTGCTGTCATGGAACAACATTCTATGGACCAGACATCAGGTGAACCAACGCTTAATAATCAAATCACTGAAAAATGTCTGAAGGTCTCATTCCCTAATTTCCCAGAGATGATACTCTGTGTAACTCAGGGGCTTTCCATAGCTTCACTGAGTTGCTAGAACATCTATCTTAATTATGCAGCTCTGATTTTAAGTATGCCTGTGTCAGTAATTTCCATGGAAGGTCTTCTAAGCAAATCAGTCAGGAGACCTCAATAGTCCATGAACATGGGTTCCCCATGTAGAGCCATTTCACCTTTAGAGACAAATAAATGAGTCCATAAAATTCCTCCCTAATCTATACTTATTTCAAGATCCAGTGTCCCTCATGTGAAGCCATTATTTACTTTCCTCCTTCTGGTGAAGAAAAAAGATTCTAAATAACAACACCTCTCTAGAGTACTGAAGAGCAATGATGTTAGTCTAGAGACTTAGGTGCACCTGATCCTGGCCATGGTCATCTCAGTTGCTTGTTATGCATCAAATAGCTGGACAATAACTAAAGATGATAGAAGAAGAATCAATGCTTTTGAGCTGTGGTGCAGGAGAAGAGTATTGAATGTACCATGGACTGCTAAGAGAATAGACAGTCCTGGACTGGGTGACACCAGGCTACTCTTTAGAACAAGGATTTTGAATCTTTTCCTGACATATTTTGGGTATGTTGCAAGGAGGGACCAGTCCTTGGAGAGGACTGCTTGGAAGGGTGGAGGGACAGCACAAGAGAGGAAGACCCTGGATGAGATAAATTGATTCAGTGACTGGGATAATAGAATTATGTGTGTCAAAGACAATGAAATTGATTCAAGATAGAGCAGGGTTCAGAGCTGTTGTACATAATAAGGTCACTATGCATCACAAGCAACTCAATGACTCATAACAACAACTATCAGAAAGTACATATGTCAAAGCACCTTTTCTCTCTAGAATTTCTTTTAATATATGAATAACATTTATGGGTGAATGTTTATAAACATGACATAGTGGAAAAGATATGAAACTTTCAGTCTGATGACCTTGACTCAAGACATGCCTCTTAATAATATTAATTACAAAATATTTGGCCTCCTACAAAACATCTTTTTCTATAAAAATCTCAGTTTTATCAAGTGGTTCTAATAATTTTGAGAAAACCACTTGCCCTTAAATGTATTCTAGTTCATAGTGACCATAGATATGTTAGAGAACTGTCTCTGTAGGGATTTTAGTGACTCTTTTTTTAACAGTACACCAGACCTTTCTTCTGAGGGTGCTTATGGCTGGATGTTGGAATGTCTAACCTGTCAGTTAACAACCGAAACATTAAACATTTGCACCACCCAGAGTCAGAGAAACTAATACCAAGACCAAAGGAGTACAAGAGAGTAAAAAAACAGTGAACACAAAAGAAATATGTAAACAGTAAAGTGATATATGAGTTAGAAAATCATGACAACTCTGCTCGTAAAGAATTTTAGACAAAATTCATTAGAACGCCAAAAGCCAGCTTTACAATGTGATGGTGAATCAAAAATTAAGTTTGAAATTATGTCTTCATAGAAAACATGTTTACTGCTACTATTTCAAATTGCTCCTCCCACCATTAAGAATAATTCTAGCACTAGGGTAGATGACAGAGAAGACAAACTTTCATCAAAGCTGTGTTTTCTTTTGCCCTCATAGCTACTATGATCTTAGAGTGTAATGAATTTGGCACCAAAAAGAGCTCCATTTGCAGCCAGCTGGGACTGCAAGCAATCAAGACAGAAAGCCAAGTGCCTTTTCTAACAAACGGGGTCCTTACGATCAACATGCCATTTGTTAAGCTAAGTAAACAAGCCTACTCTGATTTAAGTGATTTGCAAAAATGTATTCCCTCAAAGCTCCTTAGTAAAAGGTCCTTGCTTGACAAAAAGCATGGACCGGAGAAAAGTTTAGCCTTCCAAATGGATACACATTCCAGCTCTCAATGTGTCCTCTATTCTCACCATGAGAAATAAATCAGTATCTAAAATGTCTTGGTAGCTAGGGGGCTCCCCTCCTCTTCATAACTATTGTGCAAGGAGAGGAAAGGGCACTTGTTAGCCACTTCTATTATCTATCCACTCAATCACTCTTAAAGGGCATTCTTTTAGTCTTTCTGGCTAAGCTATCAGGCTAGAAGCCAGTAAGCGGTATCATGCCACGTGTCTCTTCCGAGGATCTACTTTAGCTGATTGAGTACCTCTAAGTCAGCCAAGGGAAATGACACAGCCTGCCAACATACAAGGCGATTGTGTCAGTGTAGGAACCTGAAGGTCACTGTGGAAGATGCAACTGACTAGGACTTCTGGGGTTTTCTCTCCATTTGCTGTGCAACCATAAACTTGCATTCAAGATTTTCTATCCCAGCTTTTCTCTATTTTCATAAGGCTTTCAGAGGCCTACTATTTCAAAAGTGGTTACCAATCCTTGTTGTTGTTGTTCAATGCTGTCAAGTTGTAGATAACTCACAGCAACCCTATGAACGAAAGACCTGAACACTTGTATAACTTTCATCCTTTCTCCAGGTTCATAGGGTTTCCAGAAGCAAGCTATCTCGGAAGTGGATGCCACTCCTGCTTCCAAGCTTGTTTTAATCAAGGCGCTCCACAAAACACTGTCCCCCATGGGTAACCATTATTTGACACATCAGTGTCACAGTGTTCAGCATCACAGCAACCACGAGTTAACTCTGTACAGCAAATGGACAGACCAATGCTATCTATACCTCTTAGAAGAATGGTTGACCAAAAACAATTAAAACCAGGCCTGAGGGCCACAGATTAAGATCACCCACACAATACTTCTTCTTAGGCTGTCTTAATGTTGGAGATTTACCAAAGTCTGTCCACCAAGGACAAACCCTCTATTAAACACACTGATGGTGCCCCTTTGAGTATCACAGCACCCAGGAGAGTACCTAGTACAGCAAACTGACAGACAAGTGTTGCACTAATTAGAACAATGATAAAAAGGCAAGAATACAGATACCCAAGCTACAAAGTAATACTTACTTTGGAAGAAGAGTACTGAATACTCTGGAGAAAAGTGCTGACTATCCCCAAAGTCCCAAAACAACTACCAAAAGAGCAAACAAATGCCTTGGAGAAGGTGCAATCGGAGTGTTCCTTGTAGCAAGGATAGTGAAGCTTCATCTCACATGTTTCTGATGCTTGAGCATGAAAAGGCTGTTCCTTGGAGAAGGACATTATGATTGGAATGGTGGAGGATGGCAAAAGAAAGCAAGATGCTCAACCAGGTGGATTGACAGTGACATGGGCTTGGATATGTCAGAGAGTGTGAGGTTGGCACAAGACAGGACAGGGTTCATTTATATTGTTCATAGGATTGTTATGAGTCATTCTCAACTTCACAGCACCTAACAAAAACAACCATGCACTCCCATAGATTTTCTTTCAGAGATTCTTATCACTGACCAGCAAAACTTAATTCTCTTTCTTGAGAGAAGACCCCTTACCTCCATTACAGTTCTTGGTGTAAGCAACACCACAGTTGCCTATATGTGAGAATTCAGATCCAAACCACTCAGCCAGGTGATATTACTCTAAGAGTTGGAAATTTCTCCATAGAAACCCTTCAAGAAGACCTTACTATGTTTAGAGGAGGTCCTCAAGGTCGAGGGAACAGATAGAGGAACAAATGACTCCTCAAACCAAGCAATGATTGTTCGAGTCTGAAGCAGCTGATGAGTTCTGTGGAATACTTTTATGTTGTGCAACTATGTTCTATTTAGATGAGGATAATACCTTTGGCAGCAGAGCCACGTAGACTTTCCAAGTAGAGCTTGCCAAAACTCTGAGGCTAAAACAGAGATCTGCATGCCCCTCCTCCTCACACAGCATTACTTTGACTGATTTGATCTGTTCTTGAAATAATACACAGTAGAAATTTTAAAGACAGAATTTGACTAAAAGATAAGCAAAAGTAAATTAGTAACAATTGGGAAGATCTATGGTTTGTCCTAAGTCAGACACTCCTAGATTCTGAAGTAGTCATGTGTAATAATAATGAAAATATGCACTGCAATTTCAAGGGAAACATTTACTCATCTATTAGCATAGTGCTGATTTCAGTTTCTGCAGTTGTTTACTTAATTTTCCATTACTGGTGTACAGCAAATGAAGAGAGCATGACAAGAGAAGCATATGCTAATGCCCAGAGCTGTTCCCAAAAACATATTGTTATTTCCCATTTTCCACTTAGTGAACAAAAATGCTCACCACAAACATTGTTCCTTTCCATCATGGATGAAATCATGTTTGGTTAAGGCATTGTGCATATTCCAGTTAATGAAATTTAAAAAACCAGGCTGCAGAGAAGTAATCTTATCAAATGCATTAATGGTGGCCATTTTTCAAAGAATGAATTTCTGTTGAAAATTATCTAACAACCATGTATAATAAAAATTAGAGAATTTATTTTTGGAGTCAGTCATGATTGTAGTTGTATAATCCTTTGATTTACTGATCCCATTTTTTTTTGTCCATCTATTTGCTTCATTACAGAATGTTTCTCCAGTCCAAGCTATCTGAGAATATTCTTCATTATCTTTACAGTCACGTTCTTGATCGGGTTACTTAAAGTTCTTATCATTAGACAGGTGATACTGCAGTGGAACAGTAATAGGATTAAGGCCTCATCAGATTATAGAAGTCCAGCCTCAAAAAAGGTTAGTGAATTGAAAGAAAATTTGACTATCAATAAACTATTTTGTTCTAGTTCTAGTTCTGAGGTCCTTAAATAATAATAACTTTTCTTCTCCATCAAGGATAAGTTGATTCTGCATAGTGTTTACACAAGAGCAGTAACCTACCGACGTGAGAAGCCTGAAGAAATAAAAATAGACATCAGCAAATTAAATGCTCATGAAAATTTCAGGTGCAACTACTAAAGAAGACAAAAAAGTACTTTTGAGAAAGCAGACTTCTACTATTTGCTCCTAATCATTTTGCAAGTCACAGGAGGAGTCATAATGTCCAAGATCATGCCAGCTGCTGGTTGTACACTCAGAAGACTGACTGCATCCTCATTTGAATGTGACTCACCTCGCTGCTGCAATTTTCAGAGAAAAAAAAATATGTGTCTTACTACTGTTTGAGACTAGTGTCGTAGCACTTTACTGTAATATATAACTTATTTAGATCAGCGTAGAATGTAGATCATCTGAAGAGCACTGATTACACTTTACAGGTACCTGCCATTTCTAGCTTCCTGGGGAGAGCACAGTACTGCAAGAATGTTGGCATTGGGTCACTACAAAGGTACAGTCTTTTCTGCACTGAACAGGTGGATTGGGGCTGCCAGGGGGTGGGGGGATGGAATGTAGTCAGTTATACTAATTTTGCCAAACACTTGAGGAATCGACAGTGAAGAGATAACAATAGCTAGATGGATAAATGATGAGTGTTTCACTTGTTCAAGAGGTGAACAGACAGAATCTTAACCTCACAGCAAGAGATAATGCTTTTGAAACTGTAGTTTTGTGCATGTGTGTTCATGCTTTGCTTTTTTCTTTTCTTTCCTTCTATGGAGTGGATACTAATGCCTATCTTCTCTTTATATTTGTTGTGGCTTTTTTTTTTTCTTACAGGATAATTTTATATATGTCACAGATGACTGGACTAAATAAGTGCTAAGTTACTACTGCGATAAAAACCTAATAATTTCATGTCACTTTATTAGAATATTGGTGTTTAAAGCTGAATGTTTAATAAGGGACACTGTAAAATAGCGTCAACCCTGAACTGTTCCAGTGTTTGTGGATGTGGAGCTTTGTATCTCCTTACCTGGTAAACTGGATAGATACTTTCACGCATTCACTTCCCTAGTCAGCCAATCGGAATCCACAAGATACATGGAAACCCTGCCATCACACAAAGGACCCCACTCTTGGATGAATTGTCTTAGATTTTTCACTCCTAGGAGACATCACCCTTTTTCTAATTAAATTTATATTGTTTATAACCCTTTTATAGAACCTGAAAACAACATTTCCCTAGTTCATCCACCTCAACAAAGATTGGTAACAAAATAGAATTGGAGGATAGTAGAAATAAGCAAACCATCTTTTTTTTTTTTAAATCACAAAACTGAGACTCAGTAGAGTGGATGGGATGATTTCTGTAAAATCACCCAGATGATAAAGAGCAGCATTAGAAAGGTGTGCCTATCACTCTGCCAGGCTGGTGTTCATTGCACAATATCATGCTACCTCGTGAATCAATTGGACAAGTACTTTCAAATGTGGTTTATTGAATGAGCATATGAAATGTCAAAACAAAGTAGGAAAGGGTAATTAAAACTGGATGAGCCATAACAATTTCAGCCTTCCATGTTAACCAGCACTGAGAGGCTGAAGTGTGGCTTATTTCTAGGGAGACATGTCACATCATATTGTGAGCCAGCATGGCTCGCAGCTCGCTGGAGTGGTCCAGTGTTCAGCCTCAGAACTTGATACAGAGGCAGGACGTGTCTGACACTCCTTCAGGGGAAACACCTTCAAATTTACCCAATCTCTATGGACCTATTTAATTCGACAATATTGGAAAGCAGTCCAACAATCCTGTGTGCGGTGCAGAGCTGGGCCTATATCAACAAAGGAATTTCTTCAATATCTTTTGACATAACGAAACTCCAAGATCCCTTGTCTTCCCACATTTGAGTGTATCAAAAAGCTAGAAAATTACATTTTAATAACTAGCACTCACATCTTAATCTACCCTAGCTGGGAGTGAAACACTTGTAAATTGTTGTGGAGCCAACCAACACAGAAGCTCCACCACCCCTCTCCTACTGCCATGCCATCATAGTGCCAAATGAAACCACATTTTCTTCCCCAAGTGAGAGATTGGGGACATCAAAGTGATTCATCCTCATTTGTATAAGAGACTTGTGATGAGCAAGGATAATGTAAATTCACCTTTTAGAGTCTAGCTATCACGTGTAGCACCTTTTTCTCTTTTTTTACGAGAAAAATAAAGGGTTGCCTGACAACCCCTGAAAAGGGAGCAATGAGAAATATATCCATTAATTAAAATGCCAACAAGTTCTAAAATGAGCAGGGGAATGTTCATAAAATCATTTCCATGTGGAATGAACGGCTCAAAAAGATCATAATAAAATGAAACCCTGAAAAAATATCCAAGCTTCATATTTCTTTACACCCTCACTGGTTTGCACTAACTTTGTAATTGGGCCAAGGCTGTTACCGAAGGGACAGACTTCTGAGGGGCAGTTCAATGCTAGATGATGATTGTAGCTATGCTTGTGATGTCTTGTGCTTTCTTTGTACTTAAAGAGCTAATTCTTAAAGATTTTAGTACTTATATTTTACTTGAATCATTGGTGTTTTCCTTTGTAATGGTTTGTAAGAAATACATTAATTAATATTTGACTAGTTAGGATTAATTTAAAAGAGAAAGGAAAACAGGGTATCCTTAGATTAAGTAATTTATGTAAATAGAGCCTACTTTCAACTAATATAACAAGAGGAGCCTTTTAGGATTCATTGATATTAAGTACAATTAATGAAATTGTAAGTTGTTAACAAAATTAAGAACTTGAATAACCCTTTTTGTATGACAGCATTTCTGTGCCCTAAAGTATATAATGATAGAGAAATGTATTATAGTTACACTACAGCTACAAGATAACTATGTGTTTTATTTCTCTGGGGACATATTTATACTTCCATGCATATGGATTTATAAACATTTTATATATTCTTCAAAACTATTAGTATTTATGAAGCCATAGACATTGTCTGGAGGACTCAAAAATTCACTGAAGATCTGAGCATATTCAAAGGGTTCGGCCCATCTTTGGGGCATAAAAAGAACTCCTCTGCTCCTGAGGGGGAGAAAGAAAGATTAAACAGAATAAAAATCTCTGGAGACAAAATTGAAAATATAAAAGTGCTGAAAACATCAGATGCAACAATTTACCAAAGAAGAATTTCCAAGTGGTTTTATAATAATCACTTAATTGCCACAGAAGATATTCCTGTATCTGACAATAGTCATCCAGGAAACACCAGAATTTCAGTGTGAAGGTTTCTTTTCCTGTGATTATGCCTTTAAGAAATTTCTCATGATTCATGATAGACAAGATAGGATTCAATGTAAAAATTTTCTCACACCTCTTTTTCATCTTGCCTATCCCCAAAGATTGCCCTAAAGCTTCAAGTCCAATAAGTCAAATTGTGAAAAGCCCTTAAGGATATGACAAAACTGTTTCTTTTCCAACACCTTTACTATTTATTTTAAAACTCACTTGAGTCTGTGCTCCTCAGACCAAAAACAAGTAAGAATTCCACAGTTTTACAAGTGTTTGAATTTCTTACAGGTGTAAAATATTTTGGTTATGGAAGCTTTCATGAGAGTCTCAAGTGAAATACAGCTTCTTGGGAGTACAATTCTGTGCATAACGTATTCTATTTTATTTACTCTTCATCCTTAAGAAAATTCTCATCTGCATTGCCCTTAAGTACTCTCTCTTCTTCATGAGTTATAAGCATATGTCTTTTTTTAAAAGAATATGGGTCTAGAATTCTTCAAATCATTTCTCCTTTTTTATTTGCAAGAATTCCTTTATTGCAAATGTATTGAAATAATTTGTTAAATATGGCACAGTGCTTTGTTTTGGGATGCTAACCAAAAGTTTAGGAGTTCAAATCCACCAGCCACATGTGGGAGAAAAGTGAAGCTATATTCTGATGTAGTCATGAAAACCCACTGGAGTGTAGCCATGAAACTCTAGGTCAGTGGAGTTTGCCTTTTATCCATATTCATATTTTTTGCACTCTAAGACACTCACTTCTTTGGTTTAACATCTATAAAAGTATGATGTTTCTTGCAATTGTTGGCAATTTAGATATAGTATTTACAGATAAATATTACACTATATCATCTTTAAACACATGTACATAAGTATATAGTATTCCTTTTCTCATAAGTAATTGAGAATGCATTTAAGGCAACACATGAAGCCAAACTTTCAATGCAACTGAATCACACACAATGCAAAACTGTAGCAAGAAGTCTTATGTGAGCTCAGATCTTGCTGGGTTTTGTTTAAAAAAGCTCTTTTGGGCTCCTGTCAATACATCTTGCTAGTGGCTACAGTTTAGCAAGCCCTAAATTATTTGATAGGAATAGGAAAGTTACTGCTAGAATTCATCAACAAGTTTTTAGTCTTTCATTTTCTAAGGGATTCTTTTATAATATCATCTCATTTTAAAACAGAAAAACTGGAAAAAATAGCACATAAACCCATCATAATTAGATTTTGCAACTTCTTATGTGTTTTATGTCAGTGTCAGGAAAAAAAGTATTGTATAACCAGTCCGTGTTGTAGAACACAGAATTTTTTTTTTTAAATCCTCCTATATTTTCAATTTTTTAAAATCACTTCTGTTCTTTCATTTGACTTTGTCTTTGGCTCTGAAAAATATACCTTTAAATCCATATATTGACTATAATATAATGCGTATTTAAATTATTTGTATTATATGACATAATTATTCAGCCATCTGGGCAGCTGTTAATGTTACCTGAGAGTAAGAACACTACTCTTTCGTCTACCTGAAATACTTCTTGCTTTTCTACGCTAACTCTGGTTTTTGCCTCTACAACCTACTTCTTGAGTTCAAAATGTCTGACAAAACAATGTAAAGCACCACTCTCGTCTCCATGACTGTGATTAGTACAAAAATATTTTTAAATGTAATTGGTGTAAAAAATTTTTCACTTCACAGGGTCCCACAGACATATATGATTTTGAATTCCATACATAAGAAAGATGGTACCGTAGACTGTGTTAGAAATATTGAGCATAAACTATTTTACATTGAAATTCTCAGAAGAAATTTGCACTTAAAAATATGGAAATTTC